TAACAGAAGCTGCAAGTTTTTCTATCTTTTATCGTTCTAATAAAGTGTTTACCATGAAGATCATATTATTTTATGAGTTTGTATTGAAGAAAATCTAACTCTAGAAAATTCGTTTTTTATGTTACTCATTACGAATGCATCAGAATAATCCGTCTGTGTAACTAAATAAAACCGATTCTTTTCACTTTCTGGAGAAAATATCGTTTGTCAACTCATATCTTAACCAAGGAATGATGAAAAGAAGTTTGTTTTTTTTCGAATTCGTAGCTGATTAGCAGCTTTACACAATGTTCTGAAATCATCATATCGATTCGATGATTTAATATTCCAAATAGATAGTATTATGAATGGGTCGAAAATGTCCCAACAGGGAGTAAAGGATTAAAGTAGTTGAATAATCTTCTCTATAATTTAAAAACTTTTGATATTTAGTTAATTCTTGAACAATATCGAGTTAATCAACATCACATATTCTTTAATATGAAAAAAATGTTTCACGAGAACAATATCCATATCATTTCTTTCGAACGTTCGATAACATATCAAATATGCCTTTTTCATTTGATTGTGCTATTGCTTCAATTGGAAGATTTTTCATATAAATTTGTTTATTTAAACCCAATAGATTATAAAATGGATTTCCTGTTTGATAAAAATCACTCTAATTAAAAGATTAAGAAGACTTTCTAGAGATTTATTTCAAAACTTAAGATTTTTGATTTTGTTCAAAAAAAAACTTTATTTATCCTTTGATAAATCCATAAAAGAAATCAACGAAGCAAAAAACCAAATAATGATCACATACATATGCTGAAATTCGTTTTTTTTTGTCCTTCTCGCTTTTCTAGAGAAAAACGAGACAAAAAAGGGACTATCCTGCGAAATCTGTTTTGTTCTTTATTTAATTATGATCAAAGATTAGAGAACTCGACGACAACATTTAGCTGAACCACATTTGCAATCCATTCGACAGCCAGCTGTTTTATCTACTGTATAATAATAATTCCAACTAAAAATGGATGACCAGAAAAAAGTCAATCCATGGAAAAAAATGTTCATCATATGTCTAATTAATAAAGAAGACAACAATGGTAATACACGTAAATAAAACTGATCGATGTTTTCAAATAAAAATTTGTAAGAATTATATATCTTCTTTTTTTCAAAGCTCCATGAATAAGATTTAAATAATTTGTTCTAATTAATTTTTCATTTAACATACACTTACTAGATATCGAAGAAAAATCATCTAGTCTCCAAAGGCATAATGTTTCTAAATTGGGCATAGAGTTACTAAGAAAAGGCATAAGATATATTTATTGACTCGTCGAAAAGAAAATGACAAATTTCGAATGATGGATGTTGGTATGTATCTTCTATTTAGTCATATTCCCACCTACACCCGGAATCTGAAGTGTGTTTCTTAGAATTCATTGCCGATGTCGAATTGTACAAATGAATCAACAAAAGCCGAACATATGTAGAAAAAGACAGTTACTGTCACATTGCCATGGTAATGTGACGGTAACTGCGTTTCCCAAGAAAATAATGGTATCTTGGACTTTTCTATAAGATACTTTTTCTCATGCAACTCGACAAGCTCTATCCAAAAATAACGAAAAAAATCTCGTGAAATTTTAATTATTGAGTACGTTACACACATTGTGAATACCTTAAAATTTGAATATCGCAGTCTAGACGCGTCAATAATAGCCTATATTTAAAATTTGTTAATTTGCAAGTAAAAGCTTTAATTTGATCCGAATATATCTGATCTTATTAACTAATAAAAATCATGAAGTTGATTCTCTTTAAGAATCAAGTCGACATTGAAAGAGTATACAATAAATCTTTTGTGTATAATAAGATTAAAAAGTGAATTAACTTCTTCTCTTATTTATCTCATATTGAGATATTCTTTATTTCATCTAAGAACTGACGATATTGATTGTTCAATATAATGTACTTGGTGCTCAAGAGACACCATACTTATCGAGGGTGTAGGTGGGTGTGGGCGTGGTTATAGATAGAACACATACTCACACCCACACCCAAATACATCATGTCAAATGTAAAGACCATCATTAATTGAGGATGATGATGATCATACTAATAATAAGAATGAAAAACAATTGCTATCAAGAAGTCTTACATTTGATAGGGAACCATTAAAACAAAAACGAATATAAAGACTCAATCGACCATTACCAGCTATAATTGAACAACAACTGCAATGTTTAGGTCGAAGTTTACTTAGTAATGATAATTGGTGGCAAGAGACAATGGCTGATGTTCGTGTTAATGCTAAAGCGATTGAACAAAGTGATCAAAATATTCTCTTTGGCAAAGATAATATTTTAATTAAAAATAAGTCAATATAAATATTTAATTCAGATATTGATCCTTTACCATATGTACGTGACATGCTTAATGAATTGAGTAATAGAGAAGCTTTTCTTTATGCTCGACAATGTCGTGTTGTTGTTGCTAAATTACGTTTATGTTGGATTGATGTTAATGAAGAAATAAAATCATTATTAAAACATAAAGAATATACAGAAGCAGCTATTGAACATATTCGAAAAGATTTAATAATTAATAAAGACAGTATTAAAATACAAAAAAAAACCAAAACGAGAAGCGGTAGTTTTATTTTATATTTTTAAAAGATATTTGTATTCTGATCAATAGGAACCTGAATGGTGTTGATGATAGACTTGCTGCAGAAAAATAACATTTAATATTATTGATCAAATACAGATATAAAAAATCTTGAATGATTTTTTTTTTATTAATTAAAATATTTAGAAACTTGATGAAGTTCGCCAATATGTAACTGAAATTGGTAGAGAACAATCAGTAGTTATAGATCTTGTATTTCAATGTTTAACAAATGCGTCGAGAACATTTGAATTGGCTCGTTTTGAAAAGTAAATAATCATTTTATACAATATTATTTGTTTTTTTTTTAGTAGATTAGATAATTTACAATAACGTCAACCATCATTGACAGCACTTTCTCAACTATTATCAACTCTTGATTTTCGTCTACCACGTACACCTTAAAATAATTCAATAACTTCATCTAATTCAAATTTAAATAATGCAAATATTTCAGAGTAGCTGCCTATTTCGACTTCGAATATAAATGACGATTTTGAAAAAGCGCTCATAGACATAATTTTTGGTAGATAAAGATTTAGTTTTTGTTACTCATAAATATAATTCATAACCAGAGATATATATGTGCATATTTATGCATTATAATGAATGGCAACCAAAATAAAACTATTCCTATCTATTTCTATCTATTCCTATTCTTACAGGAAAACATTCTATGTGAATTATAATTACATACAGATAAAAGAAAATGTATTCCTATTCTATAGAGAAACTCTAGCTCAAGTTTCGTCATTTATTTTCGAATTGATGCAAAACAGCTGAATGTGCATTTATATTCGAATTCGAATTAGGCAGCTCATGATTTTTTCAGAACAATTATGTCATTTACCAACATTTGCTTTAAATGTAAGGATCCTGAAAATCCTTGCATTTCGTTCTGCGATATTGGGAATTTTACCTGTTCATGTGGTCATCGTCAACATTCTCATCAACAAGGTAAGTAACAAAAGAAATTTAACGATGACTTTGTTTTTTTTATTTAGGTCCAAATATTAATGATCAATTACTAAAACTAGTCACAGATCCATGGTCAGATTTATCATGTAATTCATCTACAGAAATTACAAGACAAAAATTAAGAGTGAAAGTAATGGCCTATTACAACTTAAAACGAGACCAGTGCATGGTTCTTAATTATATAAAAGCTAAATCTCGACAAGTAGTAACAGCACATATATATCCAAAATCAAAATCAAGTCATACGAAATACTTTGGTTTAAATTTATCCGATACAAATCATCCCAGAAATTGTTTACGATTAGCAACTGAAATCGAACATGCATTTGATAAAAAATATTTAACAATAATTGAAGAAAATGGTCAATTAAAAATATTCTTATTAAATAAAACAATATCATCACAGCGAATTACAACAGTGTCGTCACATACATTTGGAGATATTCATCAAGCACCTTTACTTTTCAAAAATCATAATCGACCATATCATAGAATGTTAGATTACATTGTTATAGTGCTTTTGAAGAGGCCAAGAAAAAACAAAAGGAGTTTTTATTAACTGATGCAGATTTTCATTATTCAACAAATTATATACAAGATTTGTTAAACAAAAGTTTAGATAAGGATAAACATTCATATGTTTACCAGTGGCTCATGAACAATCCTGTTGGAGAAGAAATCCAATTAGAAACATCAAGAACAACATCATCAGCATTTATCACTAATGATTCGTTATTAAATCCTGCTGCAACGGAAGATGATGAAATAAAACGATTAGTTACACAATCACCATCATCTACTGCTGGACAAGATGTTGCTGTATTACAGTCAGCATCATCGTCTTCAACATATTTGGCTTCTTTAGATATGAACTTGATTGAATTATTCCGTATGATCAATAAACAACAAACAGATTCGAATACACAAGAAGAAAAAATTTTTCAATATATTCGAGAAGTAAGTGCATTACGTTCTAATTTCAATTCAGCACTGAAATTAATTCGATAAACTGCTACTAATCTGAATGGATCAATTGAAAAAGTTACCCGTGTTGGTAGAGATCGGTATTTCATCAGTTACAACTTTAGAACCATGTCCTTCTCTTATCAGAATAAATCAAAAGATACTCAAAGCAAATATTATTTTCTTTACTTGATCTAAACTTTGACTTAACAGACTTGTTAAGTGAGATATCTTTTGTATGTGTCTTCAAATCATTTTCTATCTGAAAAAGATTTTTTTTTCTAATTGGATTCTGAAAAATTTTCCTTGATTTTTCCTCAGTTTTTATAATTTTTTTCCTGTTTGAAGTGCAATTCTAATACATAGACTAAACCGGAAAAATTTATCATATCTTAATCGAGTCCAACTATGCTCTAGATTTCAGTACATCTACTCTTAGTTCTATAAGATGTCTTTGTTTATTTTAGACAATGAATCCATCGGATCCAAAATATATTAGAAATATTATATTATCTTATGTACATTCGTGTGTCATTGATTCTAATCCAAAAAGTATTATTGGTTTTGATCAATACAATGCACGAGATAAAGCTTCAATTATACAAAATATTCTTGCTGCTGATGAAGAAAAACAAATTGAAGCACTTTACACAACACAACAATTTGTAATCGAATTGAAACATCCACATGGTAAATTGTCATAAAAGTTTTCAAATTGAAACTTTCTCCATTTACCAGCTTCTTCTATTTGTAGGAATGGTTTTGAAATTGTTCGATACATTTTATGATGAAGAGTGTGTAAAGGAAGAAGTATTTTGGAACTGGCTAAGAAGACCAAATCCAGCAAAAAAAAATGATCAAATTCAATTAATTGAATCAACAAAAAAATTTTTCATTTGGTTGTCACAATCCACATCCTCCACCATCAAAGATATCGATAATGATGATGATTCTTCTTCTGATGTCGACAATGATGATGATGATGATTCTTCTAATGTCGATAAATCGAATGATGGTAATAAACAATACATTTAGTTTTATCAAATAATCATCATCACCATCATGAAAGTATGAAACAACAAATAAGAAAATTTGAAAGACAAAAAAAAATTTTATTATTATTGGAACAAACAACTTTTCAAGATTATGATCGATTAATTATTAATGAAACAAAACAAATGTTACCACCAAAAATTCAAGAAATAACCAATGTTCTTGATGATGCAATTAATAAAAAAAGAAAAAGATAAAAAAAAAATTTTTCCTCTGAAATTATTTGTCTCTGTAATTTTCTTCGAATAAAAACTGTCAGATAGAGAATTTATATAAATATGATATAGTATTGAAGAAAAAAGTTTAATTATTTTCTAGATTTAAATTACTTCGACGTATTGTGTTTAATCTTTGAATGTCTTGGTAATATTAATGTATTTAAAATAATCCTGAATTATGTCTATTCGACAATTATATACAAAGGTATGTTTTTATCTAATAAGATATATTCGTGTCTTGTTCATTATTGTTGTTATTATATTTCTTCCAGTTCTAAGAATTTTTTGAAGATATTAATCTCATTCATGCTTAAGTTTTTCTTTTTTTCTTAAAGAGAAAAATTTTTCAGTTTCTTATTCGCTATTGTTTGTTTCATTTATTTTCTTTTCTATTAGTCGAGTCAATCAATTCTTTTCAAGTTTGTATAGTTTGTGCGAATATTTCATGTGTGTTGTGCTATTTATTTAGTTTATATTGTATGATTATACAGCATAGATATTGGAGACATAATAATGCAATAGAGGAAGCTGCTTCATTTTTTTTTCATTGAAAAATTAATAAATAAAAGAAAATTGATTTTATTTGTTTGTTTTTAGGGTGC